GTACATGGCCAGGGTAACAGCCTGCATTGTACATGGCCAGGGTAACAGCCTGCATTGTACATGGCCGGGGTAGCAGCCTGCATGGCCGGGGTAGCAGCCTGCATGGCCGGGGTAGCAGCCTGCATGGCCGGGGTACCAGCCTGCATGGCCGGGGTAGCAGCCTGCATTGTACATGGCCGGGGTAGCAGCCTGCATGGCCGGGGTACCAGCCTGCATGGCCGGGGTAGCAGCCTGCATGGCTGAAGTAGCAGCCTGCATGGCCAGGGTAGCAGCCTAAATAAGTACCATATGCGAGTACCAAGATGTGAGTAGCAAGTAGTAAAATGTGCCATATGGCCTATGTGAAGGATAGTCCCCATTCGGACGAAGTCCGAAAACGGGGACTTTTAATTCTATTAAAATGGTACAATGCAACAGGGGATGTGGCTTCTATTAGAGCCTCTATACATATGAGAAATGATGTAATACTCTTACTGACCACTCGCTCTGTGTCCATTTCACACAAGTGATACTTTCACACAAGTGAGATATTTTTATCATAAAAACCAATGATAAATGTTTTGTGTGAAAATTAGTTCCATAGTGTCTATATATTTTTATTTCCTGTTTCAGATGAAGTCAGGGAGAATTAATTTGGATTCTTACTATGTGTTCGCAGTCTTTAATTCGAGCATGCTTTGACTGATCTCATTCAAACACAAAAACCATCTATGTTGATTACAAATGCACCTCAATTTTCGTTACCTTGCTTTTGATCAAATATGGATGACTGGTGGCCATTTTGGTTTATAAATATTGCTAAATTCTATACTTAAACATGTTCAGATTGATTTTTTTCAGTTTATTTATAAGTTTATACCAAGCTTATATCATTCATACTGGGTTACAAGTGCGCTTCATTTTTTTTTGAGATTGAAAAAAATGGCTGGCTGGTTGTCATTTTGTTTTTGATCATTTTTCTGTTAATTCCTCACTAATAATATATTGCCTGATTCATTTGAAAGTTTGCGCACAAGTACTAAACTCATAGGTTACCATTGTGTTATTTTGTGTGACTTGATCTAATTTGTCTAAACTTGCACTCTACAAATGTGTCTGGAACCATTCTTGCAGATTGACTTCCAATCATACTTCAATGATATTGACATACAGACAATGCATGTTCTTTTGGCAGACATGTACATGTGACTTGTACTCAAAACAGAGATTAGCTACAAGTAAAAACACAGGGACTGTGTATCGTCAATGCTTGTGGTGGACACTGGGGTATGTATGGGGTGTGAAAAAAATGGTGGGCGGGTACAAATTGCAGAAAGGGACAGAGTATGAATGAGAAAGCGGATTAACCATAGAGCATAAACGTGCTAATACAATAGAGTATGGATGGCAAAAAACAGCCTTGACCAACCTCCATGACCTGCAAAATATAGTCAATCAAAAATACAGCGCTCACACCTC